ATGTAGAATTGGGATGATTAAAATACACACATGCTTATGCTTCAGGAAGTCAGCCTAAACAGGACAGCATTTTGGATTCTGTAAAAGTGTTTATTCTCGCTCCCTTTAGGAGTGTGGTTATTTTATTAATGCAAAATGCAAAGTATATCCAAAGAAAAAATTTGCATCCCATTGGCAGTATAAACCTTGTGGGTTTATTGATTATGATCAGTTCTTGTAGAATTAAGTTTAATATGTATGTAATTCTATACATTTTGGGTTGAAGATGAATTTATACAGATGCTTAAATTGCAATTAAAGCAAGTTTTATTTTTTTATTTTTTGGGGGGGGGGGGGGGGGGGTCATGTAGCAGTGCATGGATTCTTACAAACATCAGGAATTGGTATAGGAGAACACACAAGAATGCTTTAGATATAGCAGATCACCACTCTAATCTAGAAGACGGTGCAAGCTTTTCTGTTTGCTAAATGCCACAACAGAAAGATTTTTTTAAATCATCTAAAGCTGGGGTGCTCAACTGATGGCCAGGCATCCTTTACAATCCAGCTGCCCAGAAAAATATAAACGTCTTAAAAAAGATTCTCCATACATATTTCATTTCTTTTTGGCTGTGTTTATATTAGTCTGCATAGATTTTTATCTGAAAATAAAACCACATGTTGTGGAAAAAATAGTAATATGTGCATTAAAAGTATCATTTGTATAATGTGTAATAATTTCAGGTTATGCATTTTATTCCGTTTTGTCATGTACAACACATACAAACCAGTTTGTGATGCAAAAACTGATCTGGGACCAGTGATCTCAAGCACTCTTCTCCAAAGTAAAGTATGAATGTTTAGTGTTGGTGTGACTTGGTATGAATTTGCTTGAGAATGTTCACCCTCAAGTCATCTGTATGGAAATGTTTTGCAGTTTGGCGATCCATGGCAGTAAGAAAGACAATGAGGTAGTTGTATGGAAAGTCAATTGTCTCGTAATATACAAGTGAACAATCAAAAGGGTCATTTTGTGCATTTTCAAAACCCTTTGGTTATTAAAAACACTTCACAGCACCATTTGTTATTGACACACCGCAGGTTTTTTTTTTTTTTTTTTTTTTTTTGGTCTTACTCAAACCGGCTCTCTGAAAAGGGTAAAAACAGTTGTTATATAAATGTATTACCTTTGGTAGACATCACTTTGAACAACCTCAAGCTGGAGAAACAGAGATAGTTCTGAGTGGATGGATGAAAGCTAGTCTGGGTGAGGTCAATTTCAAAGTCTTCTTGCACTCCTAAAACCGCTAACAGCTGTCTGGTTCTTGTCAATTGGTTTCAGTACTTCTTTATAAGAATCAACCAGAGAAATTAGAGGTATTCATCTTGTTGATAAACTATCTTTGTTGTAGCGTGTCAGCTACACGTTGTCATTTGACCAATCAGTCACGGAGACAACATGCCAAGAACTGCAGAGACGCTTTGGCAGCGCAGCGCTTGCAGCACTTATCGCTACTGTCGTTTTAACATCTTGCTGCGTTTTTGAGCTTAAAGTTCGCCAAATCAAACAATCACCACTGAAAAACACAGTTTAGTGTCAATGATTAAAGCAGATTAACCTCATTTCAACCTTTAGAAATGTTTCCCAAGGCTCATCTTTTTTTTTTGGGGGGGGGGGGGGGGGGGGATCAAGTCACTATATATTTATATATAATAATATGGGATAATTAAATTTCAACTAAGATGCACTAAAGTGAAAAAAATGATTGACTACACATGTCTTCAGCACTCATTTGATATAGTTTATCAGCAAAAAAAAAAAGTTGGTTTGGGGATGACTTTCTCTTTAAAGCTGCTTTAGCGAATCTACAAAGCAAGCTAGATTTTGAATGCAAACACGGTCACGGAACTCTCTCTCTCTCGGGTGTCTTCCCTGAGGTGCTTCTGCCGTTACCAGAAACTTGCGATGCCATGGAGAACAAGATGGTGCTAAACACCAGTCACTATTTTCTAGGTCTAAATGTCTTTTGTGGTCTAGGACTTCAAATTGTGTTTTTCTTATTGGGACTCTGGTTGTTTGTCCCTAAATTTGGAGTGGTAGCAGCCGGCTGTTTCTCCTTCTCTGACATTATTGAGCGGAGAATCTCTCACACCAGTGGTGTTCTGCACAATATATTTATATCAATACTATGTTAGAACGTTGTCAAGAAGCAAGAAAAAAAGATTTAAGCTCATTTGTTTTCCAAATTTGCCATTGTAGCTTTAACATAAACACCGACAGTATTTAACTCTGTTAAAACCCAATAGCAATATGAATACTTATTTTCTGGTAAGACATGGCCACCAGTATGCCGCAGCCTTACTTATTTCAGGTGTCTGGTGCTGGGGTTTAAATGTGCGTAACAAGTAAATTTGGTAAAGTATTTAAAAGATGTCCCAACGTATTGATCTGGGCACCAGAAGATTTAAGGATGTTGGAGTACAAATGCGTGATGAGGTAATATCATAATATTGTAACATTTCTGCCACATCAAAGCTCTTACAGAACAATAGTTTGCGCTTAGTGGTTTATTAAAGTATTCAAGCAAACAGCTGAGATAAAGCTGTAGATCCCTGCAGCTCCAGCTCTTTCCAAGCATAACCACCTCACCAGTGCAACAGCACTCATGAGCACATAACAATAACCTCATGGATTGTTACAATATTCTGGAAGATTTTCAGATGTTTTCATGTTTGGAGTTCTTTGAATTAGTCTCAATATATATATATATATATATATATATATATATATATATATATATATATATATATATATATATAATATGTATATGTGTATATATGTATATATATATATATATATATATATAATATGTATATGTGTATATATGTATATATATATGTATGTGTATATGTGTATATATGTATATATATATATATGTATGTGTATATGTGTATATATGTATATATATATATATGTATGTGTATATGTGTATATATGTATATATATACACACATATATATACACATATATATATATATATGTATATGTATATATATGTATATGTATATGTATATATATGTATATATATATATATGTATATGTATATATATGTATATATATATATATATATATATATATATATATATATATATATGTATATATATATATATATATATGTATATGTATATATATACTTTCTCTCCTGAGCAGGTGGTATGCATTTTGCAAAACGTCAAATAGATTTTTTTTTTTCATTTTATTCAACAGATTATTGCAGGAATAAAATGTATGTAAATGTCAGATCACTACAAAACCCACTAACTGGGTTGAGTTTTAGTTATCACCTTTTTCACATATTCTGAGTTTGCAGATATGTTTATAAACGAGTCCTCTGCTGTCCACTTCCAGCAAACACTGGGCCAGAGGCGCCAGTCCATCACCGGGTCACATAGAGACAAACAGTACACACGGGTCCATTACTCACACTGAGGGACAATTTAGAGACTGGTTTACTTTTGGCACAAGGGAGGAAGAGGGAGTACCCGGAGAAAACCCATGCTTCCATGGGGAGAACCTTTCAACACCATGCAGAAAACCAGCTGGGCGTCACACCTGCAACCTTCCTGCTGTGAGGCAACAGTTCTATCAACCTCACATAAAACATACAGCCTTATAATGCGACCCACGCTCTGTTTAGGCATTATGAATCAGGAACGCAAAAGTAAATAATTCACTGTTGCATCCTCGCTAACAGCTTTTCTAACAGACTTCTCTGTTTTCTTCATCAGGGTGCTGTAAATATTTAGCTGTTTCCAGGATGGATAGAAGAACAATGTGATAAATAACAGAAACATTTATCTATAAATGGGGTAATCAATAAGTGTAGAATGCAGCTTAGAATTGTTATTGGAGTTTAGTTTTTGATGTGATTGTAGGACTTGTCTAAAAGTAAAAGTACTGGACCATTACGGCTGAAAGGGTGTATAATATTTTTACCAATTCAAACAAAAGCTAACTTAAAACTAATGTTCTCTTAAATGTAAATGTTCAAATATATGGTAACTAAAAGTGTTTCTAAATTTAGTATAATATACGTCTAAAGGCACACGCATATGTATATGTATATATGACTACACCTTTATACCTTAACTGTACATATTTTAATCCTTTTTAATAATATAGGACAGCGGTCCTCAGTAGGTGGCCGGCGGGCCGCACATGGCCCGCAGGCCCCCACTTTGTGGCCCCCGAACCCCGCGTGCAAAGGAAGATAAAGGTCTGCCGTTTCCCCAGTTCACAGTGTGTGGTAAAACCTTGGCTGTGAGTGGCAAATACAAATATTTGGAGCATTTCATTAACGATGATTTGGCTGACGATGATAATGATCGGCAATGCCGTAGGATGTACGCACAGACCATTATGCTATTTTGTATGTTCAGTGTGTGCTCGGATGTAGTGAAAAAGATCATCTTTAAAGTATACTGTACTCAGTTATATACGGCACACCTGTGGTCCTGCTGCAAACAAGTCTTCAGTGACTTCATGTAGCATGCAATGATTGCCTAAGAATTTAGCTAAAGACCTCGTTAGGAAAGTGAAAGCCACTTGTTTGTTTCAATGACGGTAAATACATTTCGTTTGATGCAGAGGATCCTGGTGTAGGTTTATCTGCTGGCTAAACCAATGTGATAATATAATCATTAAGTGCCTGACTAATGTCTACTCTAGCAGCGCCCACTTTCAGTCACAATTATGGCATCACTGGTATTGCAGTCTGCTCTGAATTATTTGTGGGCTTTTTTATAGAGTACTTTGGATACTGAGTCTGCTGATAAAGGTCGATTGATTGATCAAATGTCCAGCAATCCTTTATTGAAACACATTTTTTTCAGCTTCTTCACTTGATGCTCTTCCACTAAAACAGAGCATGCTTTTACAGTTTCTCTTTCCGTATTTTTCACGTTCCACCAAAGGTTTCTTGCCTATGTGACTGATTCAGTTGATGTTGTTTATCCTTTAGATGCCAGTCATTCAAAAGGCAGAGCCCATCGGAAGTCCGCCCCCGTTCCCTGGCCCCGTTATGCTTTCTCCATCATCCTTACCTCCAGGAGGAGCTCCTTTCATGCCCGCAGAGTTCACTCCTGCTAATTTTGCATTAGGTGAGTTGTATGGACGAAATTCCACGATTTCTGCCTTATTTATTTATTTATTTATTTTTCTTTGGGCTGAGTAAGATTTAGCACTAACCATTATTTTACGATTTTCCTTCTTATATTAAAGCTCCAGAAGAGTCCAAGATAAATTCCAAAGGAAACAAAGATGCTATCGGTACCTGCAACCAGTTGGCGCCCCCACAAACGATGGCTATGCCAAATCCTGCAGTAATGCAGGGACCACCCATGCAGGCCATGCCTCTACAGCCTCGTCCCACAATGCCGAATTCTCACATGCACCGCTTCCCTTCACATCCAAACATGCAGCATATCCCCCCGCAAATGATGCCAGGTGGACCGGTGTATCCAGGCAGATTCAGAATGCCCATGCCCTTCCCTCCTCGTCGTCCTCCTGCTCAGCAGTATCCACCTATGGGACATGAGATGGAGCATTTCAGAACTATGAGGCCGGGATTTACATACCCACCTTTTGAAAGAGGGAGGTGGTAACCTGAGGAAGGACTTTGTAAGCAACTGGTGGTTCTGCATCTTTCATCCAGTCCCCCAACTAAATATGATCTGTGGTTCTGTGTGTTTACCAGGGAAGACATCTGTTTGGGTGTATATATATGTATTTTTATAAATGTAAAGTTGTATAGTATTATGTTTGATTCAGTTTGTTGTTGTAGTGCACACAAAAATACAGCATGTCTATTTTATAACCTCTAACAACATTTTTGTTTGTTTTTTCTGTAAAAAAAATTCTAAACTGTTGTTTTGTTGTTTTTCAAATACCAAGCATGACCATTTTTACAGATACAAATGGACTCTGTTAAGGAAAAAAAATATACAAGGAGAGATATTTTGTGTCTTGCCAGTAGAGGGTAGGATAAACATTGAGGTCACACCTTGTAGGATTATTTGCAGTGAATAAAAACAATGCTCACCATTCATTGTTTTCTATGTTTCTGTAAACATTGTGTAATTTTTAACTTCATGACAGATGAATTTAGGTTAGAATACTTTTGAAATTGCCCTAACTTTGACATTTTTGGCTTTATGAGTGAAAAAAGATCCACTTAATTAAACCCATAAACCTGTATTTATGATGCATTTATTTGCTCATGTAAGGTGCATCTGCATGCAAGGCACGTGACGTGCAGACATGCACATCACGAGTACGTCTAAATTGTTGCATTCTTCATTTGTCGCATTTTAATTTTGAAATAAATCGGGGATTTTGTTTGAAACTCAGATGAGATTAGAGCTGTGTGTCTGATTGGCCCTGAGAATAAATAAGTGGCGTTCTCATGATCCAGTTGCACGCCGTCTCCGAGGGTCTTAGGCTCCGCCCCTCCTGGCGATGTGGAAACAACACGCATGGTCTGTGGAGACCTTGGAGAAGCGGCTGGATCTGCGGGACGTTCCTGTGGAAGACATGGACATTTCTCCGTTTGGACACAAGCAGCCAGTTCCTGGTGAAGGTGAAGACAGGTAGGTGGCGTTGGGGGGGACTAGGAAGCGACCTGTCTGAATCATCATGTGAAGGAGGGAACATATACATATGCTGGTTGCGTTTGCGTGGTTCTAGTGCCGCGTGCACGCTTGAGCGCGTCACTCAGCCGTACAAGTTTACCGGAGGCGACACGCTGGCGCGCCGCAGCGAGATGCGGTCCGGTGAGCAAACCCCATAAAATATCCTTTTTTTTCTTCCTGTTTTATTTTCTCAGTGGTCGCTTTGATTTTGGTGTCCTGCCGGTTGATCCCTGCTCTCTGTCGTTTTGAGGGTGAAACAGACGTGCGTAAATGATAAGCGCCACCAGGGTCAGCGCATGTCCAGACAGACGCGTTTAAAATCATAGAGCATGTGGTAATTACGGAGTCTGGATAAAACACCATGAGATGATCAAATCCCTTCTGGTTATTCGTTTAGACGGGGGAAGGGGGACACGTTCTGCCACAGTGCGGTAAATCCGTTTCTCTTTAATGACACTTGTGCGCCTCTCTTGTGCGGACGTTTAGTGCTGCCTGCTCCTTTTTGGAGATGAAACCGAAAATGTAAATGTCATGCGTGCTGCTGCTTTTCACCAATGACCTTATGGTGTCAGGATTGTTGCAGCGTCACTGCCACTGTCTCCTGTTGAAGGTGTCTTTCTCCCCACAAACTGTAAATTTGACCATGTGATGATCTAATCATGTAAAGGTCGTCCCTATAGCACTATTCTTTTTTAAACTCACCATGGCAGCCAGTTTAATTACTGATATGCATTTGCTGCCATTCTGTTGAGATAAATGTTGCTTTTGGACGAAAACATCTTTGTCCTGAGAGGCTAGGATGCAGATTCTCAGTCAGCAGCTTATTTATAGTTGGCCAACAGTTGTCTACGCCACAGATTCAGGGTAGTGGCAAAATGCAAGCTTGACAAATACAGAAAAGAATATTTAGCTTTCAGTTTTATGGAAGAAACATTCTCACCAGAATGACCTTTTTTAGACGTCGGATTTCTGACATTGCATTTTTATTCTTTGAAATTATTCAATTCAATTCAATTTTATTTATATAGCACCAAATCACAACAAGAGTCGTCTCAAGGCACTTCACAAAATAAACATTCCTATACAATTCAGCTCATTAAGCCATTTTGTATTTGAATTGTTTAAATTTACCAGCAAAAGAATTAATCCAGAATAATCCAATGGCAGAATCTCAGCTTCAAAATTGCAACCAATTAGGTGGCTGCCTTGTTATGGAACTAGGATTGGGACAATATTCAGCGTAACTTGTACCAAGTTTTGTAACTGCAAACATGTTTCATCACATGTAACTTTGGATTCATAACTTGTAACTTTGGATTCGTAACTTGTAACTTGTAACTTGTGACCCATGCCGAATTAAACCTACTTCTCTGCGTGAGTACGGAGAAACGCGACACCATTTTGTGTTGGTGTAAGGGCTCTCTGACAGGCCTGCAGGGGCTGAAGAAGACATGCCCAACTTTTTAACTAGCCATCGAAATTGACTGCAACTGCTAACTTGTGAGGTCAGGACGCCGCTTCCTAAAAATTCGTCAATGGCACCGGCGTTGCCCTCTCAAAAAACATAAAGGCAGCCGAAGATATTTAGCGACAGACACGAAACAGTTTGAAGTACGCGTCACAGAATTGGTAAAAAATATATATAAACATTTATTCATGCATGAATGAAGGAGTACAAAAGACACAGCAAGCGTTTTATTCGTGAACATAATATATGGGGAACGTGGGTTTAGTGGTGGCGACTGAGGAAAATGAAGGACAAATTTGTGCACGTTCAAAAGTCTCTGAAATACAATAAAACAATGCAAACGCAATAATAAATACACTATATTCAGTGTTTCACCTAGAAATTTTTCCAGCCTTGGCACGTGTGTGTGTGTGTGGGGGGGGGGGGGGGGGGGGGGGCCGAGCGTGGACCGTTTTGCTGCTGTGCATTGTCCATGAGGGGGGGTCGTTGCAGTGGAGCGCCTCCCTTCCATGTGTCTGTGTGTGTGGGGATCTCACAGGCGTGAAGCTGGACTTTCACTCCCCAGGGGACGGAGAAGTTTGAGGGGAAAACATCTCTGTCAATGGGTTTGCACGACTTCACGCTCGATCTGACGGAGAAGTATAAATCAGCCTTTTATCATCACTGATCAAGTCAAGTGGCTTTTAGCCAATCAAATTATGCTTCTCTAACTGGCAGGTGTAGCTCAGGAGGTAGAGCAGGTTGTCCAGTAACTGGAACGTTGCAGGTTCAATCCCGGCTCCTGCTGTCCTTGGGCACAACGCTTAACCCGCCTTAACTGCTAGTGGCGGTCGAAGGGACAGTTGGAGCCAGTGTACGGCAGGCCTCGCCTCTGTTAGTGCGCCCCAGGGCAGCTGTGGCTACATTGTGGCTCATCCCCACCAGTGTGTGTGAATGGGTGGATGACTGATTGTATTGTGAAGTGCCTGGGGGAACCCTAAGAAGACATTATACAAATACAGGCCATTTACCATTTAAAATCAAGTGAAAGTCTCATTAGTCATCACCACACATTGGTGAAATTACATTTCCCCGTGGGGAAGCTGTGAGCTGCAGTCGCGCTCAAGAACTACTTGGTGATTTAACCCCCCAATAACCCCTTAAAGCTGAGCGTCAAGCTGGGAGGCATTGGGTCCCATTTTTAGAGTCTTTGGTATGATTTGAACTCTGATCTCCCAGTCCCAGGGCAGACACCCTACCACTAGGCCACTGAGAAGGTTACCATTACTATTCACTGATCAGGTGACACCAGTGAGGTGTCCACTTGATCGAGTGATGATTGCTTTGGCTTAGGTCATTTACTGTTGAATTTTTGGCATGAAATTTCTGGTGTTGAATTTATTGATTATGACATTTTGCAGTTGAATTCCTACAGATGAAATTTTTCTGGTTTTTTTTAAGTTAAAATTTTTAAATACAGATTTTCAGAGAATAAAATTTTTGACCTAAATTAATCTGTAAATAAATTGCGGCACAGCTAGATGCAGTTCGTGGAGTTTGTCAATTACACAAGTAATGTTTAATGAGTGGTAACAGAACTTATGCATGTGGGAAGCTGCACTTAAACTAAAAATGGTCTGAGTTCATAAACGTGGTAACACGAACCCATCTGTTTGACCCGGCCACCCGGGGACCTGACCTATATGCCCGTCCCATTTGTGGTTTTGAGCTGTAACTGGTTTGATCTTTAACTACATCTCAAAGATCTCAAATGTTAGACCAACTGTCTGCACATGAAAGAATGTTGGAAAATTCATGTGGAAATATGACGGCACTTCTCACAATTCGTGACATTGTTCTTCACGCACATACAGACAGACATGTTCTACCAAACAGTAGTTTGCCTGGAATGTGCGTAATCTAAGCCTCATGAGTGCTCTTTGTCAATTATTCATTTCCATCCCACTTGTGCATAACTCTTCATTCATCTGCCAAGGAAGTACTGAAGACATTCTAGTGTCATGTCTAACAACCACGGCTTAGTCTGACAACATGAAATACTTCTGAAGTAGGTACTATTTACCTTTTTACTCAAGTTATTACATTTTTAATCCTGATTAAATTGTGTTTAATTTTTTCTGTCTTATTGAGACAAATTTAAATGTCAGCAAAAAGATAGAAGAGGATGTGCGTTGTGGAAAAACTGGTTTGGATTTTCAACCAGAACCCAAAAGGCAGGAATCTCTTTAGACAGGAACCTTCTGTCTTTGTTCGAAAGAGTTGGTAAGAATACTGATTTCTACTAATCCCCCTGAGCTATGCACACCGCCCTCCTGATAAGTTAAACTATGAAAGCTGCCTAAATATCTGAATAAACTTCAAGCCTGAGCCAGAAATTATGCTTAACAGGAGCTGTACTAGTAGGATAATGTTTAAGTTACTGAGGAAGAGGATTATCTTTCAGAAATATTCACTTTTAAATCAAATTTAATACACATAATATATGTAATCTTAAATATTTACCCAGTTACAAACAAGTTATATATTGATTCTTCTCGATTGTGAATAAACTCCATTATTTTAGACTGGTTCATCTTGTTTGGTACTGTTTTTGGATTTTTGCAAGAGGCTTTATATTCAAATTTCTGTTACAACTAAGCCTCATTTACACAGAATGCAGAAAGGATGCGGTTCAGAATCCGTACGGCCTTTTTGTTATTTTTCAAATACCTAATATATTTTGAAATGGACAAAGTCACGTCCGTAATGGACTTAAATTCCAGCATTGTTAAGTTTTTGGTGTATCGCATGTCTAATGTGAGCAATTATACACTGTGAACTGGTATTCTTGTGATTAATAACAAAAAAACTTCTCTCCAAGATGTCTCGCCTCCAATTTACACCGGGTTGCATAAGCGGCACGTTACGCCAACGTTGCGGTCTCCATGACTTATATAAACTGTTCTATAATCAATGGCAGGTGTCACCAACTCCATTCCCTGAGGGCTACCATCCTGCTAGTTTTCTGTGTTTCCTGCTCGACCACCTGAATGGAGTAATTTAATACTGCCCTTACCACGTTTATCTCTACACAAGCCTGTTAATGGTGCGTTCCGGTTGTCCTCAGAACTCGAGATAAGTTAGTTGGAAATGATGCAATGAACTCGGAATTCTGAGCTGCAAGCTTGTAGGTTTCAGAGGACCCCAAGATCCCAAATTTAAAGATGGCTTCGCCCAGTGCTACCAGGAAGTAGTTATCGTCTTTATGTTT